AGGGTCTCCGGTTCACTACACTAACCAAACAAAACAGAGCAGCGATTTTACGCTAGTATTCTGTGAGAGCGTGGTCCTTCCCCAGTCGACCCATTCGTGCCACAACTATACTACTAATATAATTGCAGCATGGCTCTACCACGTAAGATGAATCAATCACGGTCAGTCACAAAAAACTCAATACGGCGACCTTTAGTACCTACCACTTTGCAGAACACTCGGTGAATTAGCCGAATATTCAATCGAACATGAATACTCGGTAAACCTGCCGAATAAGCCGAATATCGAATATGAAACGAATATTCGGCTCACCCCTTATGATAATATTCATATTATTTAGTTTTAATATTTTAACTAAACTTAAGTACGAAAATTACATCGTGGCACCGGAAGTCCGGAACAATACCATAATGCCGATCAAATAGTACAGAGGCTGAGAACGTTCATCAAAGCGTAGTCGAGTCCAATCCCATATATAAACAGCGGAACCATTTGTCACAGTAGATCGCGGGACATTCACTTAAACGGCCGCTGTCCAAATATATTGTTCGAATGACAACAATATCATTGCTGTGAGAAGGGTTACGGACCTTTATGAATGTAATGAAGGAAAAGTGTTTGAGATCGCCTTTATTGCGGCTATTTGAATGTAGGATATATTGTCATTCATTGTTTGTGGAATTTTCATAATCTACGAGTATATCTATACTATATATATCTATACTATAATATTATAGAAGATAGATTTTTTGTTTATTTTTTGATTGTACCGAATAAGCTCTGAAATTTCTGGACCGATTTGAACGATTTTTTCACCAATACAAATTTTAGTTATCAGGAAGTAACATAGGCTATAATTTATTTTCCAAAAAATTAGATATCCTTAAGAAAATATTAAAAATGTTACCCTAAGTAGCAAATTTTTGCTTATAAAAAACGAAGAGAAAACTATTGATGATACATAAAAATTATGCACTACATGATTATTAAACTCATTATTACCTACAAAAAATCCGAGAAGAAATATATCTACTATCCAACTATCTGACACAATTGTAGCTTTCGTGCTCTAAAATTTAAGTGTCGCCTGTAGAAACAAATGTTGGTTACATTCGTATCTTAATATCACTTCTTATTCAAATAAATAGTTTTATCATCAAAGGTATTTATGTAGCAGTAAAATACTTTTTAATACATTCGAATTTGACATTTAATTTCCAAGTTATCAAGAGTATAAAAATGCAATACGCGAACCGTTAAACGCCGCCGCGACATTCCATACTCTTAGAGTGCGCGTTTATTTCCACCATTATTTCTTCTACGGCAGCAACGCGCTGGGTACCAACTAATGATTTATGAAGATAGTGACTTTTAACGAACACGTAGTTTGGTTGTACTAATCGACTACTGAGTGAGTCGCGGTTAGATTCGGACACTCATAACTGAAGAACAGGCAAGAATTCTTGTGACAAAATATAAAAAAGATATACAGTAGCTTTTTGATTTCCCGGTTGTTTGATACAAAAATTTATTTCCGATTCTGTCACATAAATAATTCCTACATCAGATACATGTAAGTTGGCACGTGTGGTTTGTTTTGTTTGCAAGTACACTTGTGGAACTGTTATTGTAGTTGTTAACTTCCAATCGTTATCATTATTGTCCATCACACGTACACGGATGGCGACGTACACGATGAACATAGACTTTCTATAAATACTGTATCAAAATAGTATTTGAGCCATCTGCATTTATCGACTTCCTCTGTAACATTTCGTCACTGCATATAGTAGATGACCCCCCCCCCTCTACCCCCGCTAATTACGTACTGTTTAATCATCATTAGTCAAGCGATTCCTAGAGCTAAATGGTCAGCCTGACAGCCTGGTCAGACGGAAAATCGACATGGGAAATAATTATTATACGGTAAAAAAGTTAAAATTATACTTGTACATGAAACTTTACATTTGTCATAAAACTGTAGGTTAATTAGAAAATAATAATAATGTTTTATATTATTGTAGTGGTGGTTACGAATATCCACTACCGCATTTCGTCCCTTGAGTATTGTTAAAAGCAACCAAGGTACATACCAGGAGACGAGCAGCAGTATCTTCTTAATAATAATTAGACATTAAAAACTGCGGTTGCCAACCCGCTTGGCAACTGTCGCAAATTATGTAATTTATGCAGTAGTCAAAGTTCAGCAGTGGATTTTGACACGTTACTAATTAATGAATGAGTTATTGCGAATATAACTTCAAGATTACTTAAGCAGAGAATGTTTACAAGAATTTTGATGTCCTCCGGCAGAGGTTGTAAGGAAATGAGCACAAAAAGTACGTGGTATAGCGCTAGGTTCTTAATGACCAACTGGGTTTTGAAAAGTAGATGAATCTTGTATAAAACAATTATTTATAATTAAAACTGTGAATGCAGTTAATCAAAGTGTGAATCAGTGTGATCAGCTTGATGGCTAATCGATTAAAAAAAAAACCGTAAACTCCTACACTAGGATTATTTCCTGCACGTGGATAAATACCTAGATCCGAAACAATAATTTAAGCTATACAAATATTTAATGATTTCTTATATTTACGCGAACACTACACATTTAAATAATACTAGTTTATATGGATTTTATCGCGTATAATTAAAAAAGCGTATAAAAACTAAAAAAAGTAATATTTACTTTTTTTTTAGTTTTTATGCGATAAAATCCGTAACTAGTTTTTACTGATTTTATCGCGTTTATACGCGATAAAATTCGTAAAAACTACTAGTATTATTTATACAAATACTTGTGCATTATGGGAATCGAACTGGTGGGAATAGAACGCAAGGCCACTGTGCTATTGAATTACTCATTTAATTCATTCATGACATGCCTCGAACTTTTACGGTGTGCTCAGTAAGGAATTAGAATTCGTTACATACGTTAATCTTCCCAGACCCTTACCATCATCATGATTACAGCACTGCTGAACATAGGACACAAGTTCACTGCTGAACATAGGACTCCCCCAAGGAAACCGTAAAAGGCGGTATCGAGCTATCTGAATCCATCCCCTCATCTCTTACACTACACTCGGGGCCCCTAAGCTTCGTCTATCGGTACGAAGCAGCCACTCGAGAACCTTTCTTCCCAATCGATAGTCGATTCTTTGAGGTATATGGCTGACCCATTGCCACTTCATGAGGAATAAGAATATCTGGAGTAAAACCAGAGAAACGACATAGTAGATTAGTAACCGCCATTTAAAAAATAGGCGCTTAAATATGTACGGATTTGTACTTATACTTTAATACTTTATTACTTGCCACAAAAAAATTTGTTACCAAAGTATAATAAATGAAAGATTTTCCAATGAATTTACATCTATTTTCCAATGAACCTGTTATGAACACATCCGTGGTGTTTTGTGTTGATTGAAATAATATATACCGCAATATAATACAAACGCAATAATAACAATAAATTATTTTTTACATAGAGTAACAATAAAAAATACAGTCACTCATTATATCTTTGTTTTGTTTAATTTTGATAGGCGAAATGCGTTTGTTTTGTAAGCAGCCAGCAATGCTTAAAATATAAAAATTGTTTGAGTATTGTTATTGGTTAAATATATCTGTGGTAGAACCTAAAATTACCTTCATTTTTATATAAAGTAGATAAGGCTCATTAAATTACCGGAAATATTTGACGTTTAATTAACATTAAATTAATTTTGTTCCCTAATCAGGACTCCTCGAGTGCTCCATGGAATTAGGTCGCCCTCAGCAAACACTTCAGGCTAACTGACGCTGCTGTTTTGTCGGAAAAATTTTTAAGCTCTGTTTGCACGGGTATATGGTGAAATTTTAGTCTGTGTACATAGGGCAATCGGCGCCTGCGTTTGGGTGATTAAATATAATAATAATTATTGCTTGTGATAATTGTTTTGAGTACACAATATGACATAATAAAATATGATTATATCAACTAATACATTAATTATTATGAAATATTTTTAATGTTACGTTTATGTAATTAATGTCCATCTTTCGGCGGGTTATAAAGAATACTGAGGAGTAAAATATACACAAGTCTGTCGGCTTAAAATATGATGAATAGCGTTCCATAGAGTCGAAAATAAAGCGGTGCTACAGTTCCTTTATCGTTGCTAGATTGGCTTCCGGTGTATCGAAGAAGTTCTGGTATTAGTATGTAAGGTGATTACTCTCCGAAATCAGTACATTTGGAAGTGTTTATAGACTAGAATAGAATAATTTTTGCCTAACATACCTATATTACAAATAATACATATTGAAAGTCATGCTTTTACCACTGGTTCAGAAAAATCCTCTGCCCTGGGAAGAACCAGCAAGAAATTCAGGGGATTTCGTTAAAAAAAAACAATGTAGTACAGTTGAATACACTAAAAATAGCATTGTAGCGATCACCTCATTCCAAGGTATTTCGGTCATGTAATATTTAATATTGCAATAACCCTTTCTATTTAATGAAAATAAATTAAACCTCTTTAATAATAGGTTGAGAAATAGAAGACAAAATGCCAAAAGCGTATATTCGTGGTAGAGCCACGCTGCAGCTATATTATGGTTGCAGCACGAGGTTGGCTCGACCGGGGAAAGACCACGATGTCACACGTAAAATAGCTGCTTAATACTACTGTATTTCGTATGGTAACTGTAGAGAACCGGAGACCCGTTTTACTGGAAACGAGTCCTAAGGGGTGACAAAGCATCTGATTTTGATTTTTAATCGAGATTAAATCTAGTTGTCTATAGATCACAGCATCCACTTACCATTAGATGGACTGTGTGCCCGTTTGCTACACTTATTTTATAGAAAGCTTCTTTTTACAGTCAATTTTTAACTTTATCGAGCAACTATCGTTCGACAAATATTAATAAGACTTTTGATTATATTTAATGGATTTTGAATACGGTGTGATGGCTTACAAACTACATATTTCTGAGAAGGGATAACCTACCAGTTATGTTGAGGACAACTCTCTCTCCGTGCGTGGCGACGATCCTCCACTCGCAGCGCTCGGGCACGGCGGGCGCCGCCTCTGAGCCCCAGCCCGGGGAGGTGAACCACCCCGAGTTACCCAGGAAGGTTTTCCCACATTCTAGTCAGAGAAATTATGCATTTTCAGAGGAAGGATATAATTTAAAGTTATATTGTGTAGTTTGAGAAAATTTCCATTCCAGTCTGTCTCATGTGAAATGTCAAAGAGATCTCATGGTTTACTGAATACCCATAACCGACGAGCATGTATGCGTTGGTGTCTCATGATGTAAGGTATGGTACGTATCTCATGACTTCAGATAGATGGTGACAGGTGTACTCAGACCGGTGAGAGGGATCATAGTCAGAGATACAAGATATCGCAGTGTGACGATTATGGCAAATCCTTTTACGGCGGAAGATGCTCATCTCCAGCAGTGGACGGCCTGATAATGAACAAGAAGAATACATGACATGATGACGAAAATAGTCTTTTACCCTCATGTAACTTCCACAACAAGGATGAATCTAACGATATCCTGTATAATGCTGCAATATGTTAGTAGTATAGTTGTAGCACGAATGTGTCGGCTCGACCGGGGAATGACCACGCTCTCACAGAATATCAGCGTAAAATAGTACGTTAGTACCGCTGTGTTTCGTATGGTGAGTGTAAAGAACCGGAGACCCTTTTAACTGGAAACGAGGCATTCCTTCTTAGTCCTTACGGATGACAACGCGTCTGCATTTTGATTCGTAACCGAAGATAGATGTAAATGTCTATGGGCCACAGCAACCACCTACCATTAGGTGGACTGTGTGCTCATTTGTCACCCGATACAATAAAAAAGCTGTTTACAGAGCGTGCCTAAAAAATTCACATACATATATACATACATTCACTTGGAAAACATTACCTGAAATTAGACTAATAAAAAAGTTACTTACTCGCACACTTGTACAGTAAATTGGTTTGAGCTATATCACTGGCGCTGAGCCTCACTCGTTGCCCGATCTCCGGCCTCTTCTTCCCGTGAACTTCCAACGGGAGTATCGTGTCCAAGTACGTGCCTTTACTGAACGTGTTCCTTGCGTAGTGCATTATGCTGTCGTAGTCATAGGTCTGACCCAACGAGTTAACTTCTTCATACGTGAGCTTGTTGAAGTTGTACTCTTGACCTGCCAAAAGAAAAAAAAGTTTAACTTCATCATCAGTACAGTCCTTCGCAAGTCCACTGAAAATTCCCCCCCCCTCCCCAAATTGGGTCAACCAGATCTTTAATTATCTTATACCAGGTTACCTTACACTCGAACTCAATTTTTGTATACTCGTAATAAGCGAGGCTGCTATTCGTGAATTTTCCTTTCTTATCGGTTTTCGGTTCTTTAAACTATGCCGGTTTCTCTAGTTATACTGCGGATCTTCATTACGAAGTCTATCACGCAGAGATACTCCTAGCTTAGCCCTCACTTTAGCTCGTTGAGTAACTTTAAGCTTCCTCAGCCAGCAGTAAATAACCAGGTCTAAGATCCGGATAAGGTTTGGATCTTGGTTTTATAAAATTAAACAGGTTTATATTTCAGTATTTACCCTATGGTTTCGTTATAAGAATATCCACCACCTCATTTTACTTCTTTCCACTGACTCCTCTTTTACGTGGTAGAGCCATGCTGCAGTTATATAAAGATATAGTTGTAGCACGAATGGGTCGACCGGGGAAGGACCACCACATATAGCTGACTCTTATTTCGATCAAGTTAAGACCGGCCCATCTCGATAATGAGATGTCTATCTACAACCACTCCACAGACGGTCACCTATCCTAAAAATAACACAATGACCGTCAAGACCACGCTCTCACAGAATACTAGCGTAATGCTGCTGTGTTTCGTATGGTGAGTGTAAAGAAGTGGAGACCCTTTTTACTGAACTGGCGACGTATTTGCATTTTGATTCTTAATTTAGGATAAATGTGGATGTGTATGGGCCACAGCATCCACTTATCATCAGGAGGACTGTGTGCTTGTTTGAATAATTATTCCCTTATTCCATAAAATACTATATTATTGTTTGCCTATATTAAGATCCTAATTTACAAAAAAAAAAATAGATATTTAACACTTGAGCTACTACAATTGTAAGAATTCGCAGACAATTGTTTAATTGTTAAATTCCCGCTATTTTAGGCGCTTTATGGCATTCTCTTTCTTCACTTTATTTCACTCCGAAAGCTTCGCTCGTATCGCCAATTCAATACTGCCCCGGTCGCGGCCCTTTAAGCCTTTATATAGGCCTTTTCCACCGAAACACCTAGAATATTCCAGCAAATACCGGTCCCGATTGACTAGATGTAGGAAATTCGAGTGTGAAGTTTTCTAGAAAGCTTAGTTCTTCTATTCGATACTAGATGGCGCTAGTGGGAGAGTTCTAGAAAGATCTTGATGCTCCTATTTCAGCTGCTTGATACCAGATGGCGCTAATAATTACGCGTCCTATACCGGGCGCAAATTATAGCGCGCAGCAATAATAATAGTGAATGCTCCACTTACCATCAAGTGGATTGTGTGCTTTTTTGTCACCCAATGCTATTAAAAAAACCTCATAACAAACCACATACCAGGAGATGGGTAGCAGTGTCCGTAATAAAAAAATTGTGGTTGTTAACTCGCTTGCAGAGCTTCGAGACTGTGGGAAATATACCCCCATTAGGCATTATATGGAGGATGCCTATGTTCAGCTGTGGGCTTTGACGAGTAAAAACCTGTAACGGTAACGGTAGCAGATATCTCAGTGCAATGTGAGTAAAACATTTTGATTTGTGTCATTGTACGAGAAGCTGTTACTGAAATTGATCCGAATATAACAGTAAACATTTCTGTGAGTAATATTCCTGTATAGGACAGTTATTATACTCTTCGGAGTAATTTTATCTTCGTAGTGCGAACTACGGAAGTGTTATCGTTATATTGTGATAGTTATATTACATTGATGAAACCCGGGTATATTATTACAATAGAAATTCCGATCCGATGTTCTATCTCAAGAACAATCCAGAACAGCCTAAATTAGAGCATACGAGGAACCCTAACAATTCAGATTTGGCCTTCAAAAGTTATAATTAAATGAGATTAAACTTTATTATTATAATATTACGGTACAGTCTCGGAATGTATCGTTTAGACGAGTCGAAACTTTGCTCAAGTAGGTTAAAGTGAAATTTTCACTGCCGTGAAATTCCGTCGTGGAGATCGTTTAAATGCCTGGAATATTGACATGCCCAGTTGGCATTTTCTCAATTTATGTTTCAAGTATGCAATGACAACGGCCTTTATTGGGGTTATACTACTTTAGAGGTTTCTAATTTATGTTTTTCTTCCTTATACATATAACTAAATTATTCTAAAAAAAGTGGTTGTCCTTTTATATATATTTCATGGTTTATGAATTTATTTTATCTGCGTAGACGTGGATATATGGGACGACCCTTGAAGCATCATGAAAATCGTACATAAAAACATATACAGATGAATTGAAAATCTTCCTTCTTTTATGAAATAGGTTAAAATATCTGTGATTGGGTTTACTTCTATTTTATGGAGTATTTTTTTAATATAAGTTACCCCCACACTTGTATTTTCTACTTTATCTTAGAGGCAGCTTACAAAACATATATTGCACAAGGACAAACATCAAGATCAGTAACAATTACTTGCGGATCATACAAATACTTTTTCCGCGCGAGATTCGAATCCGCGGCCCTTAGAACTACATTGCTAATTCAATGCGCCACGGAGTCATCAAATGCATTCTACAGATGGCTCATTGAAAATTAATTAGTCTCTTGGATATTAATGGGACAAATGGTGCGTTAGTTTAAAGAACAACAAAGATGATAGTATTGAGTCAGAATAAATATATATGCATCAAAGCACTACAATGAACAGGAAACGTCTTTTGCTTCCGGACTCACTTACACCGTTGGTTACGTCTTGAATGACCACGTGACGTGACCGCTTTGAATGTAGAGCGGTGTTGTTGTTTCAGGCCGAACGTCACACAGACGTGCAAACGTTGTCTTTGGAAAGTTAATGAAATAAAGAAAAGCAAATAATGTTTGTACGTGGTATAGCCACGCTGCAGCTATACTACGTTTGTAGCACGAATGGGTCGGCTCGACCGGGGAAGGACCACGCTCTCACAGAATACCAGCGTAAAAAAGCAGCTTAATACTGCTATGTTTCGTACGCTTAGTGTAGAGATCAAGAAACCCTTTTTTACTGGAAACGAGGCATTTCATCTCAATCCTCAGGGGTGACCACACATCTGCGTTTTGATTTTTTAATCGATGATAAATAGAGATGTCTATGAGCCACAGCGTCCACTTGCCATCAGGTGGACTGTGTGCTCGTTTGTTACAAATCAAAATGCAGTTGCGCTTTACTAAGATTTTCTCCTGTTTTGTGAAGACAGTTTATACACATGTATTACAATACTTCTTCCACGCGGGATTAAAACTAGGGGGTCTAGTGTCGCAACTTGATGCTGAGCCATGATACCGCATAGCCATCACATATTAGTTTTAAAGAAACCATTTGAGAGGCTGATAGCACGCATAATTAAATCAGAAACGAAAATACCAAAAAAAAAACCTTCTTAAAAATCTGCCAAATTTAGTAAAACTTTTTACTAAATTTGGCAGATTTTTAATTACAGTTTTTTAAGTACGTTTTGGCGCCCATTCTTATTCGAATAGAGACTAATTTAATAAATACGTACTGAATGGAATTTATATTCCAGTGAATATATGAAAAAAGAAATCTAGGACTTAAAATTAAGGACTTAATGTTTTTGATTCAATTTTATTATATTTTTTCGTGAAAATAATTTTCAGAAAAGAAAGAATAATGTGTGTAAAAGAGAACTTGATAAATAGATGTATATTCTCAATGTGCATGTAGCTTACACTTGACCGATTTCCTTATTTGATGGAGTTTCAAGCGCGCACACAGATTATTGTATTATATGTATATGTGAATAATAAAATAATAAAGGTGCGTTGTCACCCTAGTTATCAAATTGTGTCTAATAATAATAATAATAGTGTCCAGACCGAATTCCGGCCACGGCGGCCTGCCCCAACGGAGGCTAGCCATCGGCGCAGGACAGTATTATAGTGCCCAAGTGTATGTGCAAGCGCAGGTGCACTCTCTATTCAATCACTCTCATAATTCGATGAGACGGTAAACCGACACGACCGGAGAGATATCACGCGCAGGACCAACGAGGCACAAATTGTGTCTACAGTCATCATTACTAACTAAAAAGAATCCCAGAAATAGTAACAGAAATCCTTTTATGCCTAGAATTTCGTCGTGGTATGTATCAATCTTTTATCTTTTTCCAAATAGCTTACACTTCTGTGTTTTGGTCTGAAGAGCAAAGCAAAGCCACAGTGTTCACGTTTCACGCAAAAACTACTACATGGATTTTCATATTGGTACGTAGGCAGTAAGTGATCGTGTATAACATATACTCGTAGGCAACTATTTATCCTCTTTTCTTAAGTTTATTGTCATAATGGCTCCTGATGTTTCTATGTGTCATAAAGGGAATTTAGTTTCACGCTATAGACAAGTGTATGAAAATGAAACTCATCGTCATGTGGAAGGGCAGAACAATGTCTGCCGGGCCAGCTATTTATAGAACCAAGTCCTCAGAGGTGATAACTCATCTGTAGCCTTTTCTTTAGTTGACTGCAAGTGTGAAGCATGTTCTTATACTGTTTGGAGAACTACCGCCCCACTCTAATTGACCATGAAATTTTTCTATTATTAATTTCAGTCCAGGCTAGTCGCATGGCTATTCTATTTTTACAAGATGAACGGCATGCACTAAAGAGCTCCAAATTTAAAAGACTTTTTTTAAATTCAACGTGGCACTGGCTTTAATTACTGATAGATATGTACTATATGACATGTTGAATTTCATAGAAAATTTCAAAGAAATAAATATATTAACTTTGGCTTCTCAGTATATTTACAAAAATTTAATTAAAATTTAATTAAAAAAATGTTTTATTAAATTAATGTTAAAGGTTTTGTAAATACTAAGAAGATGCACAAGTAAATAATACAAGTTACTCAACTTTAAAGAGGTTAGTAATGTAAGGTAAGGTCAGTAAGTTATTATGGAGAAATATATATTTCTCAGGAAAAAAAATGCAGAACCCTTCTATTCAATTTTTACTTAACAAAAGCTGTAAAAAAGGGATACTGTAATACTATTAAATACATGACTGATAACTCTCTGTCATGCTGTATCTCATGTATATAAGAGAAAATTTTTTTATAATGCAATTGTAATACGATTCTAATATATACAAAATAGTTATACTACTATATGTTTTTATTATAAGCTTCTTGCTGTTTCGTCACAGGATGGGTTTTCCCGAACAAGTGGAAAAGGCATAAATTACTTTCAATAAGTATTACTCGTAATCTATGTTAAATAAAAATTATTATTATTATTATTAATTATAATAATTTTAGGAAAGTTGATAAGTAAAATTAAGCTACGATTTTATTAAAGCTTCGGTGTGATGTCACCTTTAGCGACATATATAAAGATATGAGGAAGGCGTTGTCAGAGATTCGGGTCAAGTATACCACGGCATGGAAGATACGCCTTAAGACGCGGGTGAGTAGCTTACGCATCCTACATCGAGGCTTCTTACAAAGCGTAAATGTGCCTTTTTTAATGAATAATTAATAAAATTTTATGAAGTAAAAGTATTTTGTCAGGAAGTTTGATTCTGACCTACCACGATTAATTTTCAGATATTCTCGAGTGAATGCGCTATATGCTCAGGGTTAAACACAGTTGTATAATTAATATCTATTTTTAAGTACTTTTTTATAGCATTGGGTGACAAACGAGCTTACTCAGTCCAACTGATGGTAAGTGGTTGCTGTGGCCCGTAGACATCCACATTTATCTTCAACTAAGGATAAAATGCAAATGCGTTGTCACCCCTGAGGACTAAGACGGAATTCCTCGATTCCAGTAAAAAGGATCTTCGGTTCTCTACACTCACCAAACGAAACACAGCAGTACCCATACGCAGCATTACGTTGCTATTTTACGCTAGTATTCAGTGAGAGCGTGGTCCTACCCCGGTCGAGCCGACTCATTCGTGCTGGAACTATAATATAGCTGCAGCGTAGCTTTACCACGTAATAAATAGGTTCCTATCAAGGATGATACGCGAGGCTATTGAAATTAAAAAACATCCTAATTTCAATAGAGAAGATGGGTGGGTACTGCCATCTGCTTGGAATCCTATAATTAACAAAATTAAACCAAAACCCAAGCATATCACTGCAAGACTTCAAGATACTGGAAGCTCGTTTTGCGTAGATCGGACCGAACAATTTATATTAAAAAACTGAAGGTTGCCGGGGTAACTATGACATTAGGACGTCAAACATCTCAGTCCCCCCGTGACCATGGGTGTTGTAGAGCACACGGGAATTAAAAATAAGTAAAAGTAGTTAATTAAACGCGATAAAATCCGTAAATTTAGTTTTATTCAAATACGTAATACTTAATACTACCCAATTTAAAAGGTTTAAAAACGGTGGACTCATTGTCTTTTTGAATTCTTTCCCAAACCAGCCCAAGCAGCCTATCAAAAGTCCACCGCAGAACATAAGCCCCCCCCCCCCCATTCATCATAGATTTTTTCTTAAATATCCCCCACATTTACCGCGTAACAAGTGGGTTGGTAACTGTAGTTTTTTTTTAAATGTTTTTTTGTCATTAGGAAGACCCTGCTGCCACCTCCTGGTTTGTTTTTATCTGTCGCCTCTTAAGACCCCCACGGGATGATACGGGGTAGTGAATATTTAGCAGCCGACGGACTAATTGCTCTTTAACCATCTCAGAAATGAGAGTGCGCCTGGATCTAGCTGTGGGACGTATATCGGCTGTAGACATTTATACTATACTTTTCATTAAACATGCATGCCTTTGATCGGGCAACACTTGAACATCCATTTTAAATGATTTACTGAGAATGATCCGGCTGATATTATATGATTTTTATCATCATAATTCACTTATAGGTATGTAGTTTGTATAAATAGAATTTCATGTAAAATTTTCTGTGAGGCATTCCGTTTAAGTTCTCCGAGGAGCCAACGTAAAACGAACGAACGTCTGTAGTTCGTTCTTTGAAGTTAATTTCAGGTGTCCATGGGCCACAGCAGCCACTCAAAATTAGGTGGAGTTTAAGTTCATTTGTCACTATATTTTATATAAGAAAAAAGAAGCAGGGTATTTGTAATAATATTACAGCCCAAAATGGTAAATAAGTTACAACGTAGACGAGATATCGCGTGATGCGGTGATAAACAACAGCTAAGAAGGAAATTGAGTGAGCACGCGATCGCAGTTTAAATAATTCGCATCGAATTTACGCGGAATTCGGTCAGAACTCACTCAATTTTCGTAATGTGGTCATTAAATTAACCGCGTTTATTAGCGGCGAGTCGATGATAGCTCGTATTTAAATAATAATTTATAGGTGTAGTGAAGGAATGTACGAGCATACATGCTACTATATGGCAAGTTGTTGCTAATTGTGGGTGGATGATAGAAAATTATATTTATTCCAGATAAATGAGCGTGGTTCTTCTCGGTCGAGCTGACGCATCCGTACTATAACCACAGAATAAATATGCTATAACTCCGCCCTTTATATCCCTTAGTATATAAGGTGTATTATAATAAAGATTAAATAAATAAATATAACCATAATATATTTAAGGATCTTTATGTACTTTAGGTAATGTAAATGGATCGTATAAAGAAACTAGTGTTTTAGCTCTTGATCGGGGTTAGCTGTAGGTCTGTGGGCCATAGCATCTATTTGCCATCAGGTAATAATAATAATAATCTTTATTATTTTATCCCTTATTAGCTATGTTGTATACGTTATGCTTTGCATAGTTGAATGCTCGTAGTCCGATGAATCGAGTTGGGTTTTAATGTTGAATGTTCATGTTCGTGGAGTTGCAGATGGGGATATTTTTCATAGGAAAATCGTAATCTCACTTTTTATGACTATTTCACTATCTTACACTTTTCTAGAGAGTAGAGAGGAGGGTATGAGTAAAGTACCTCATTAAGCTCATTTATCGGAAATATATAATTTTTGAGTAATTTTTTAAAATTAAATTCCGACCTTTTGTGACTAAGAAAAGGAATGTGAATTATAAATAACATTGGACACTTACCTGTAGCGTATGTCAATGTTAGATAGTAATGTTATGATTAAAAAAAAACATTTCCACAAATTATATTTTCGTGCCCCTGCCTTTACTTTACAAAGAATTAGGCACAAAAAGTTATTTCGATTTGGTTCACGCTGTAATCGTTTCAAATGTCAATAGTTTACTTGTATTGAACATTTTTCAAACTATGAAAAATATCTTATCTTACTAGGTCCATAACATAATTATAAAGCTCAGAGAAAAAGTCTCACCACTCAAAATGTTGTCTCTGATGATCTGCACGTGGTTGTCCCGGTCGGGGCGCGTGTGCTCGTGCCAGAAGCCGACCACGTGGCCCAGCTCGTGCACCACGATGCCGAACTTGTCGCAGTTCTTGCCGATTGATATCGCCTGTGCGCCGCTGCCCCGCTTGCCCACGAACGAGCAACACCTAGGATAAAGTTTCAAATTCACTCTTGAATTTTGACAATGCTAGTGACCACAGCATCATTGTTTTAATTTTGGCACCAAACCAAAAAATATCTTGAATATGAGTAATTTTGGTGATTTCCATAAATACAGCATTTATCAATGACTTGAGTACTTGAGTTGATCGTATCACAATTACTATCAGATGGTTAAACGATTATGCTTTAATAAAGATTGTAATAAGTCTAGTAGGGTCGTTGCGCTGGTTTTCGGCCTTTTAGTGGAGTTGTCAACTTTAAGGTACTATAAAAAATAATAGCAATTATGTTGACCTAGTGTTGTTAATGTTAATTTATAGCTTATATAATGTAGTTTTCATTTTGATAACTCATTGATGCTACAAAAGAAATCTATTTTTTTATAATAAATTTTGATGTGAAAAATATGCAAAACGCTAGTTTTCGGCCCCAAATTTTAGATTTCGGCCTACAAGAATTTTAGTTTTCGGCCACCGTATTAGAAGAAGTACTATTAACTTAAAAGTGTTTTTGTAAAATCAGAAAATGGCAAAACGGTTTGGGAAATCGGTGTATTTAGTTTTCTCAATCGGTGATTGCGATTTTTTTACCGTGACGTTATTTTTTTCTTTTTGGGTGTGTTTTTGATATAAAATAATAACCATAATTAATTATTTCTCTTTGAATCATAATCTAATAATAAAATCTTTTAAATATAGCAATCAAATATTCTCATTTACGAGTATTTTGTACTTCCTCATAAGTATTTTAGTTTAACAAAATCTGTTACCATATCTAACCATTCTCATCCCGAACTAAGAGGAGCCATCTGAAGAAAAAAAATTGTTATTGAATCTTCTTCCTAAAAAGCAATGTGAATAAAATATTTGATATGATAAGATGAAATGGCCGTAAACGTAAACTGAGACAGCGTTATATTTTCTGCCGCCGTATTCTTTCAAACAATTTTAAGTTGGCCGAAAACTAAATAATTATTTTAGAGTCAATCCAGTTTTCGGCCACGACTGAAATGGGTATTTTGTTTCATCACTAACTGTTCAAATTGCAGTACTTGGTGCGCTACGATTCAATATAAGTAAGAAAGATGAGTTATAGTACGTAACCAAATAAACGAAAGAGACGAAGTATTTAGGCTAAACTCAGGCTACTTTTCGGCCGCATGGCCGACAACCAAATAATGGGAAAATTTTATGTGTCACTTTTCGGCCACTTAATTTATTAACTTTATCAATAAATTATTATAATAATCAGTGTCAAATAACTATATTAGGTTCTTTATACAGTGAAATATAACCACAATATTAAGTAATTATATTAAATACAGTACGAAACTTACTTTTGAATGGAACGCTCGCCACTATTTTTTTTGCTCGATCTGATAGCTTCAGTGTCGGCGTCAAACTAAACTATTTATTATAAATCGCGTGTTGTGTTTACCTGATTAATTAATGCTACCAGATATAGTGAAACTATTTACAAATGCATTAAACTGTATTTGGTACGATAATATTTATTAAAATTGTTATTAAATCAAATTTACTGCATCTGCTCGTGCCAAAGGCCGAAATCTAGACCCGGCCGGCTTACCGGCGCATCGACCCTACGCGACTCCCTCGATGGTAAGTGACTGCCACGTATCGGCAAGCGGAGTGTAGGACGTTCCCACTGGATAGAGAGACGACCTTCTAAGACATGCAGAAAGTCGATGAATACGGATTTTTTAAAAAGAATAAAGGTGACAAACGGGCACCAGTCACCTGATTATGAAAGGATGCTGTGGCCCATAGTCATCTATCTACGTCTATCCTCAATTAAAAATCAAAATGCGTTGTCTGAGGACTTAGATGTAATACGTCGTTTTCAGTGAAAAGGGTGTCTCTGTATACTCACCACACGTAACACAGCAACATTGAGCTGCTATTTTACGCTGGTATTTTGTGAGAGCGTGGTCCTTACCCGGTCGAATCAATGCATTTGCGCTACAATCATAATAGCAGCATGGCTTTATCACGTAGATAGCAGTCGTGCCATTCCATGGGGGAGGTCTATGTCTTCCATTTTTATATATTTTTTTAACAACGTTACCTGCACAATATTTTCTCCTGTATCGAGGCATTTAAGAAACATAAATTTCATAAGGACAAACATCCAGACCCGGAATAATTATTTGTAGATCATACAAATACTTGTTTCGTGCGGGATTCGAACCAGCGGCTCTCATCGTTGCAAATCATTGCCAAGTGACTGCGCCACGGAGCCCTCAAATATGATAATGAATACGATAATAATAATTATGATGTTTTAACCACTTACCCACAAGGTCTTTCTGTAAATACAATATAATCTTTGTGCATGCTGGAATCCCGTTCAACGAACTTTACGCAGGTAAAATTCTCCCAATGCCGCATGGCTTGTTTAAACAGTGATTTGTGGGCGCCACTGAAGTTACCGTCTATTTCGTATGGGATAACACCGTACTCCCAAATTCGCTCCTTGCGGTTAGTGGCTGCTCGAACAGTGCGGTGTCTGCGTTTAGGTTCCTGCAATTTTAAAATTATGGAGACAAAAGCATTTTAAAATATGAAGGTGGTTGAAACGTAGATTTGGTGTACTTTGTATTAAGAGGATACCTAGAAAATGAATCGTAGTTTTGGGGGCGTGGCTTATCCTTTTGTCGGTGCAACTCACGGACGACTGAGGGAGTGCCAAAATGAAAGTTATGCAATGACTTCATAATGCGCAAATTATGAGATAACTATACCATTACTATAACGAGCCCGAAATCGGAAAAAAACTAAGTAAGCGCCAAACAAAATTTTTTTTAACAAAGTTTTTTATGAATTAAAAAATGGTTTATGAGAACTTAGAGGTTTCCTGCCAAACGATTCTAAATGTATTAGAATCGTTTGGCAGGAATTTGGGGGAGTAAGGTGTTTTGTTTGGTAGAGGTTTGGTCCTCGATTATGATAATACCACCCACATTAAAAGATAATGCACCGTTCTTGAGAAAAATCTAAAAAAAACCCTAGAACTAACCTCAAAAGGTAACTCAAAATGAATTAAGGGGTGGGAGGTGGTGGAGGAGTCGAAGAGTTGCCCCCCCACTTGCACATTCTGCCGGACATGCTTAGTTTTTTTTAAAATAAATTTTTAAAAATCTAATCTTGAGGAGGATGTGTTTGTAATGTTTTTGACTATAAATCTGATTTATGGGGGCAGAGAGTTAGGGGAGGGAAGCACCACGTAGCGCAGACGAGGAAAACCCGGTTGATGGCTCCTACTTCTGAGTGGTTTACAAAAAATAACGACGAAGGGAATCTAGCGGATTCTAACGTAAACTATCAGAGTCGAGGTGCGAGGTCCCGAGCTGGCTTAGCTCGCTCTTGCACTCAACAAAACACCAATATATTAGCTTTTATAATTATTTTAAATTATAAACATAATATATAATACAATAATAAGCACACTACGGATCGCTCAGGTGTGCCCGCTTTTCTCCAATAAGACCACTACACCACTTACTTAATTTCAAAGTTTAATTTCACTCTTAAACTGTATACAATATTTTATAACACACTATACTTTATTTTTACAAAGAAGACTATATATTAATTTAACTTTACTCACAACCTTTAGAATAACCTTATTTCAGAATAGACTTTACTATTATAACCTTCTCAGCACCACTGTTCGTAATCAACTGCCGGGAACGTCAAGTGTACGCGCTTTTATATTGTGACTCAATTTTAGAATTAATGTAGGTAGTTTGAAATGGATTTATATTAATATTAATTGTGCTAAGTAATATTGCTCTGCTACATGATCATTTATCTAACAGGTGCACAAAAACACTTTAGGTGTAGGGCAGACAAGACTACGTGGATTCGGGGCATGCTGATTTAATTTTAGTACAGATTCGATCAGATCAGATATCTATAAAGTCAGGTTGCCTTTGCTCCCGCCACAGCCACAAAATTCTTTCACAGCCTTTTCTCCAGCTTTCACAGTAATATCGTATAATTTTTTCCCAGAAGTGCTAGAGCCATAAAGTCAGTAAATAATAAAATTTGTATCATTTTCCATACTTTACGCATTTAAGGTTATAATAGTTTATTTTTTCAATAACGGTGCCTTGTAATGTGAGTGGTATTATTATAATCGGGGACCAAACCTCTACCAAATAAAATATCCCAAATTCCTGCCCAACGATTCTAAATCCAACCCGAACTTAGATATGATTATTTACTACGCCCTTAAATAATTTCATGAACTTATTCGTAAAAATATTGTGGTATCATGGAGAAATGTAACTTATTATAGCCTACTTTGCAATTTTTTTTATATCCAGTAAATTACATGTTATCGCGTTTTCCTTTTATGAAAACCAAGGTCATATAGTCAAAAATCGTATACCAAAATTTTTTTCGTATACCTTAGAAAATATGTGAAATATGGAAAATCAACCGCTTTTTCAATCAAAATGAGAGAGGGTATTTTTATAAAATGAATAATTTTTATCACTGTTCATAGGGTTGACAGCTAGTATATACACAGTGATCTATGGTTCACAGTGACAATGCTTTAAGTACGCTACGCAAATACGCCTTTGTTTTTATAGAATGTTAGGTTTAATAAAATGTAAAATAGATTTGAAATTAGAAAATGAAATAAATATTAAAAACAAGGGGTTAAAATTTGTCTAATATAGGTCACTCAGATATGCACACATACAAACCTACAAGTGTAAGGAAAGTATTTGCATATGATTCTGGAGGATTTTGACAACATTTGCTATTCTTATATGCACATGATGAAATGAAATGCCCAACTAGTCTATCTCACAATTACTACATCTGTACCATCTGCTCTTCTAAATACGTTTTCTTTTCTGCGACTTAAAATCTGCTAAAAGCAGGATATTATTATATTTTTATAAATACAATCGACGTCACATAATATGTTTAAATAGTTTTCGCATTTTTGTGTATAAATCTTTCCATATTTGAGTGACCAGCATAAGTAAAAAAAAAAAAAAAATCATAAAAAAAATTGAAATAATTCAACGATTCACTACAAATTTAGAACGATTTAGAATAACATATTCCTTACGAGATCACAAGGATATTTTAAGGTTCAGTGCACCGTTTCACTTCGTTAAGACAGTGAAATCATTGTAAATAAATATATTGTGAGTAAGAAGTATAATACATAAACAACAGTTTTGTTTAAATTTATATTAATTTTAAGAAACATTCTTATAAGTAAGTTTTATAATATACCCTACTATAAAACGGATTTCGTTTTTTTTTTAATAATAAGGAATAACACGTGTCACATACCTCTGTATGATTGTAGAACTGACTTTCCATAGCTTCTAAATCGATGTCGGAGTCACGAAAAAACCAGTCCTTAAACTGTTGCGTTTCTGTTACATTTTTGTTGTCCTTCGGCGGAGGTTTCACTTCGAACCTTTCTTCGAACTCGTGTTCAGGTATTTCGAATTTTTTATATTTTATTTCCTTTCCGTCGTACTTTTTCTGGTGGCGAAAAAACTTCTTTCTACCGAAATGGGATTCACCGAGATTCTCTTCAGATGATTTTAGGGAGTTCTTACTCTTCCTTTCGCCGGATTGTATATTCCTAAGTCTACAAACAAAAAAGTTAAAACAGACTAAAATATATAGTCATAGTTTCGTATATTTTTAGTTATAATTTCGTATTATTCGTTCATTAAAGGGTGTCAAAGGAAGGAAGATACATCTGAAATTGACCTCCCTTTTTTAGGAGTTCTTGCTCTTCCTTTCCCATAAGAAAAAAAAAAGTCAAAATAGAATAAAATATATAGTCATAGTTTCGTATATTTTTAGTTATAAGTTTCTATTAATTCGTTCATTAAAGGGTGTCAAAGGAAGGAAGATACATCTGAAAATTGACCTCCCATTAGATTTTAGGGAGTTCTTGCTCTTCCTTTCGCCGGATTGTATATTCCTAAGTCTACAAACAAAAAAGTTAAAACAGACTAAAATATATAGTCATAGTTTCGTATATTTTTAGTTATAAGTTTCGTATTAATTCGTTCATTAAAGGGTGTCAAAGGAAGGAAGATACATCTGAAAATTGACCTCCCATTAGATTTTAGGGAGTTCTTGCTCTTCCTTTCGCCGGATTGTATATTCCTAAGTCTACAAACAAAAAAGTTAAAACAGAATAAAATATATAGTCATAGTTTCGTATATTTTTAGTTATAAGTTTCGTATTAATTCGTTCATTAAAGCGTGTCAAAGGAAGGAAGATACATCTGAAAATTGAGCTCCCATTAGATTAGCTCATAAATGGGATTATGATAGACATGCTGGCCAGGCGTATTGCCAACCGCAGTCTGTTAGGAATTAGGAAGACTCTGCTACCAATCCCCTGGTTTGTTTCGCCTTGTTACCTCTTACGATTTCCACGTAACGATATAGGGATATTCTTACTCCGCCTCTACACGGCCTGCAAGTTTTGATAGTAATAAATTTCGTATAAGAGTAGTTAGTTTCAAAGAAGCACGTGCACGCACATTGAATATATCTTAAGGTTGATAATTTTTGTTATTAAATTCGTTACACCTTTACTTGGCGTACTTTAAACATTTATTCGTAAATATCATATATTATGTGGATAGATAACCGAAGTAAAATTTTCCAATTTTGAGATGTTTATATTTACTTATTGCTTTAGTCGTCTTCAACGATACTTTCGGGAGTAATTTGAGTGATAAATTTTGTTACACTATCAACACACGACTAAATTCTTGATCTTAAGTCTGAAAACACAGTGCGTTCATCACTATATAGCGGGCATTTTTTTCTTTCTTATTATGAGTCAGTACTCAGTAAGCTATTAAACATAAATCTTCTACTAAATCTAAAAAAAATTGTACTAAAATGTACTAGATGCTGGCGCTCAAAATGTACGGCGAATAGACTTAATCAGTGTTATTAAATCAGAAATAAAAAAAATATTAATTTTCATTCGGCATTTATTTGTATATATATTTATTTACTATTTGTTGATATTTGACTGCCTCGTTGGTCTAGTGGTTGTAGTAGTGCGACTGCTGATCATGAGGTCCTGGGTTCGAATCCCGGGTCGGGCCAAAAAATTAATTATTGAGTTTTTCAGTCAAGAAATTCTCAGTAGTTGCCCGTAGTCAGGAAGTTGGCGGTGTCCCACCCCCTTGCCTCGGAAAGCACGTAAAGCCGTTGGTCCTGCGCCTGATCCCGCTCCGGTCGTGTTGGTTTACCGTCCCATCGGATTTATGAGAGTGAGGGAATAGAGAGTGGATCTGTGCTTGCGCATTAACTTGGGCACTATAATCCTGTCTTGCGCCGATGGCTTGCCTCCGTTGAGGCAGGCCGCCGTGGCCTGAATTCGGTCTGGAAGACATTATTATTGTTATTTAGTATTTATTTGAAGTTCTATTAGTATAGTTTATATTTACTAGAAAAGTATCAGCCTATATACGTCGCATTCCTGGACACATGCCTTCCGAGTTTGAAGCGGGGAATTCACTAGACTGACATGCCTACCGGGCTATTTGTCCGGGCATGTCTGTCGCCGCAATACACTACACAGACTCATCAGTTTGTTTTAGACTGTGATTAGTTGTACGTGCACATTAAGATGACAACCTAGACTTGCAATACTTGTTATTTATTAATTATTAATTTGGTGCAAAGAATGGTATAAAAACAGAAATAAGTTTAGCCAAATCAGTTTACATAAAGAATTAGAAATTGATGAACCAGAAGACCTGTACAATTACTTGTGCCTGAATATATGTAGAGTCGTATAAACTCTGCCCAGTATATTTAATTACCATTCAAACTCATTGCAAATAAAAAATCTCGAAAGTTCGTTAAAATAATAATAAAAGGCCGTCTGCACTGGTTGCTGTCGCTCTGTGAACAGACAGCTCGACGTTAGACACGTGTCAATCGTACATGATTCGTTCGTTTGAGTTGGTACACTTAAAAGTATTGATGGTTCATTCATTTGTTTTTGAATGAACCAGTACAACCAATCACAAACAATTGACGGTACCTTTTTAACCCGCGATTTGTTTGAATTTTGAATGAGCCGCAAGCCGACCGAATCCCGAATGATTTATTTTTTTGAATAAACAGGCGAATCGAATAAACAATGCAGACTGCAGAGTATCAGGAGTATTTATTATTTAAGGGTTTTTTATTATAATATTGTTACCTAAATTAAAAATTATTTTACATTTTATTTTATTATATTTATTTGTTACACCTATGAGTTAAAAATATTATTTCGTTGAGTTTACCAAAAATAACACTTCGAAAGATTTCATGACAAATGATTTATTTAATATAATAATTTTCAACCATATTATATAAGTATAAGATAGGAAAAATTTTAATTTTGTAGCAAATAAATGTTACAATTCCTATTTTTAGACATGTGAAGTAAGACGAAATTGTGTATTGTTAAGAATAAAATTTAGGAATAAACAAATTTATTTAATATTATATGCTAACTTGAGGTTTTTGTGTTTATGCCATCTAGCGTCGATTGTACTTACCACCTTGAAAGTCAATAAGTTTTAGTTCGATAAAATTACTTTATTATATATAGCATGTAGTATATGGCGCTATTTCAAATATAAAATTATCGGTTCCCAATGGATCTCACATATTCACAGAGTACCGGAGCCCGAAATGATCCATTTGAATGATCGATCCGAAGGTACCAGTACGATTGACGAAATGTACTAGAATGAGATGAATGATTGACACATGTCTACTCGCCGTTGACATTCACGTTCGGGCATGTCTGAGATCGCACGGAAGTTCAACAGGCAAATCTGCCAGACCGACTGCAACGGTCCTACACCATTAAACTTTGCACAGACCTACAGTAGCGCAACGAAGTGTCTCCACGCTGCCCAATGCGTGTTGGGAGACTCCACATGGTTTCGAAAATTTTTTATTTTTTATTTTGCACACATGAAGATTTTCTGACGTTGTTTTCCTTCACCGACGGGCACGTGCAAATTAGCATTTAAAGCAATCAACAATTTTATTGATGTGTGCAGGCGGGGATCAAACTCGGTATTTCGAATACGGTATTACCTACGAAGTTCTATATACAAAAGTTCTGCGCTTCTGACAAGTCATAAATGTATGAATTAGGAATTTAATAATTAAAATAATTTTTGGCGGGAAGTCGCATGTCTATTGTTTATACACAAGCTAAAGCTCGTCATCCATAATAAAAATGAAATTAATGCGAAAAAATTTAAGGGCGATGATTAAAAGTTCACTCTCTCCGCAAGATTTAAAACGTTTTTTGAAGGGAAGCACCTCATTTTTTGTTAAAGAGTTACGCAAAACTTCGAATGTACAATTTTACTGCAACTAAATTTTTTAGTCATTTTTTATGTATGTAACTGCTTGGTTTGGAACCTAATGGTTATTTTCTATTTAACAACGACGCTGTTTATGTTACAATAGACAATACATAAAGCTTTGAAACTTTAAACTATTGAAATACAATATTCCGATTCAAAACTGAGCACCGAAGTAAACGTCAATCGGTGCTGTATTTAATACATTCGAGGGAATGTTGCAGTTGGTTTGCTCTAAGTTCTGCAACAACTTGTTACGAGCACTAAGCGGGAATTTAGTAATCATTTTGCAATCTAAAGCTCTATACACCATTTACTTAAATTTACTCGACTAGGTGAATCGTTTTTCGTTGAATTTACTCCAGTTTTTTTTACTTAATATCAGCTAGTGCTTCACTACAATCACACCTAATCGTAATTGGCGATGAAACACTCGATGGTGAACCATGTTTATCGATAAATAATCCCGTACCTGCTGTGATTGTCAATCTGTATGTTCAGCAGTGGAATTTTACGAGCTCATGAAGAAGAAGAATATTTTCAATATATAACTTTTTCAGATCAAAAGTATATTATTATTGGAGTAATTTTCCAGATTAACATTGAAAAATAAAACTAAAATTTTTGTAATAACAACGTTGTTAATAAAGAGCTGAAATTAATAGGATCTTTTAAACAAAGAATTATCTCGTATAGGTTTCTCTGATATTGATCATTAAGGACAAGTGTATGGCACGCACATCACGGGGCGGAGTTTTATCCACTTTTTAATTTCTCTCTAAAATTGTTTTTTTTTTGTGTATAGTTGGAGTCACAACCTAGCTAACAGTTTATATTATTTTTATTGACTAATAGATCAAAGACGTCTAATTTTAAATATAAATAGTCACAGAAACGTTTATAATCCTGAGGACTTAACTGGAATTCTAGGAAAGTAGTGGAACCACTGCAGCTTGATAGAGAATCTTTTAACTATAAAATGGCTGCTGATAACCCTAGAGATAGCTATAATATGCCTAGTTACTATTATAATAAAACCAGAAAGAAATGGAATTTAGCCTTACCGTCTCCCGTTACCATGTCTCCGCCTTCTGTGACGTTTTCTCACTTCTGTTTCATCTAAAAGGCTCTGAAGACTTTCTGTTGGTTTAAGCAAATCATTTGCTTCATAAACTTTATCATCTATTCCTTTATTAGTTCTTTTTATTGTTAACTTATCTTTGCTAACAAGTTCTTCGTCTTGTTCATTTGTTGGTATAACACCATTTGTAGGTGCAGGTGCTACGGTCACATTTTCTGGTAGATCCTTCATTTTTATATTATTGTTAGAATCACCGGTGATTTCCCGACTGTTGCTTTGTATTTTATTCGTCACCTCATCCATTTTGTTAGATAAATTTGATAACTGAATACTTGGGAAGAAGTCTTCTAGGTTGAGAATATTATCGGTTGATACATTTACTACTAAAACACCATCTTGTTCTAAGCTTTCGTATTCTGTTAGATTATCTACAATAGCACTTTGATTTGTTGGACTTGATTTATTTTGATAGGCTACGTTAGTGTAATTGTCTAAGATTTCCTCTGGGAGTAATTTGCCGTTCTTTATTAATAGTGCTTTGTCTAAGCCAGCTGGTAGTACCTGGATGAAGAACGTTGAATATTTATCTGTATAGTAAAATTTATGTAGGCAGTTCCTAAAACTATTGGTATACTTTACTAAAACTATTTCTTACACTTACTTTTGTATGCAAAGATGCATCGTTATATTTTTTCGGTTTCTCCAAAACTAAAGATGCGGGTTGCTTAGTTCTTTTTCTTAAGATGTCTGGAAGACCTTCTTCTTCAACTTGTAACCCCTCAAGAAGAACTTCTTTTTTTAGCCGCTCTACCTCTTCTTGTAGGGATTTATTTATTTTTGATGTGGATGGAGCGGTATTCGCTGGTTTGAAGTAGTCATCAGATATTGCTATATCACCTTGGAAGTTACCTGCAACAATAAATACAATTTGGATTGAACGTCAAGTTATTCTTTAGTTGTTTGTTTGCGTCAAATATTGACGAATATTTAAATGAGACTTGAAGCTGCCAAGAATCTTATATTTTACAGAAAATGCGAGAAAATTTATAAATATTATTTTATTGAAATAAAAAAACAGTAAGACATTCCATTTTTCATTCCATTTTTTTCACGGAAACCTTAGACACAATTTTTAGAGAAGAGCTATTCGATTGTATTTTTATTATCTATTATCTATCGTTAGTTACCATTTAAGATTTGGTTTACTAAGATTGGACTTACTGCGTACATAAAAATGAAGTTTTACATTAAAATATTTTTTGACCTTGATTTCTAAAGGTTAAATAATTTATTAATCACATTTAACAACACGATATGGTAAAAGGAGACGGTCCAAATTTGTATGAAGCGTAGGCCTGGTTTTGTACAAGTGGGGAAATAAATTAAAATATTATATTACTCCACTTTTGGTAATTCAAATCCACGAATTTGCCTGTATTTCAGTGGTATTAATACTTTATTCTTACCAAAAACTGCAACACTAATGGCGAATTGATGTCCTTTTGACGTTAGCTGTAGACTTTCATGAGGTTATTGATGTCTAGTGATTCAAAATGTACAGATCTCCAATATCAATGAAATCAAAATCTCACGTAAGTCCATAAAACAAAAGCCGAGTCAAACACGTAATAACAGAACCAAAGTCCAAATGAAAAAAAAAACTAAGCATCAAAGAAATCCTAAAGAAACACAATAAACGAATTCAAAAGCTCACAACTGCACGAACAAGCTCGGAATAAAAAAAATATTACACTACCTACATTATTTTATGACTGAAGTTAATTTTCAGACATGACTTTTGACATATTATTTTATGACTGGAAGGGTGCCATCTTGTAAAATCATCAAAAATTGGGATTGCATTTTTATTTTTAGCAGCTCATTTAGTTTGATTTATTATATTATTTCATTTTTAATAAAATCCCTGAATTTTTTGCTTTTTTACGGTATAATGTACGTAGACTGGACCTGAAATGGACCGTCTCCTTTACTGAATTTTTGAAGAGAAGAAAAATTATTAAAAGAAGAAAACTTGTAATAACGAAACAATTTACTTATATAAGCCAGGAAAATATAATAAATATATGGAGACAGTAATGTGTTATATTTGTTATATTTTACACGAGCCTACCATTAAGTGGGTCCATTAGCAGTGGACTGGATGCCCTTTGTTATCTTGATAAAATTATTTCCTAGACGCAGTATGAAAGCACTAATATAACTTATTTTCAGCAAATTCTTCCTTCAATGCGAGAGACCCAAGAACAGCATTGGAATTTTGATGGGTTGATGATTATGAAACCGAGACTTATGTTGATGATTGTACTCAATGCTCTTACGTAATATTTTACAGAACATTCAGTGCATTTTTACTATCCTTTGCCTTGTTTCTTCATTATTATGTTCATAATCACATTATGGTACATTATGGTATATAATGTGTTTATGAATAATTTTATCAAAGTGTTCGGGTAAAGGTGGGTTTTATAAAACGCAAAGGAAATCATTACTTTTAATAGCGTTCTATTATTATTAATTTAAAATATAATATAAGAAACATATAATACAGTATGAGCCAATTTGACTAGCATAGAATTTAATATATTTTATACGTGGTAGAGCCATGCTGCAGTTATATTATTAGTATAGTTGAAGCACGATTGGGTCGATTCAACCGGGTAAGGACCACGCTTTCACAGAATATTGGCATAAATAGTAGCATAATGCTGCTGTGTTTCGTATGGTGAGTGTAGAGAACCGGAGACCCTTTCTACTGGAAACGAGATATACCATTTTAGCCCTCACGTGTGATAACGCATCTGCATTTAGATTCTTAATCGAGGATAGATGTAGATGTAAATGGGCCACAACAACCACTTACCATCAGATGGACTGTGTGCTTGCTTGTCACCATATCCTATCAAAAAATTAATTGCAAATAAATTTATTTTATTTGATTTCAATTTCCCAATAAGGTATTCAAATTCCACAATAAATGGCCGATTGCCACCGGCCATTAACAGCGCGTACATCTGCCGCAACCATAAAACGTAACGACCGGGCATGTTTGCCGCAGCTGCGGTCTAACGCTGGCTGCCAATTAATTAATCGTCCATGCACGCTTACACGGCGGGAATTGGACAGGCTGACTTACAATAGCCTACGGCTCCATGAATATTCATATTAAGGTAGCAAGAATTGAAATTGACTATGGATAACGACTAAAGATAGCTGCATTTTGTGAGCAAAATATCCAATCGTACATTCTAAGCTCGTCAAAATTAGTTTTGAATGTGGTACAAAAAGAGCTGTGAAATTACGAGTAATTAAAAAAATTACTCATAAATTTTATGTTAAACATGTACTGACTGCAGATAGATAATGCGAGAGTTTTAAAAATTTACATTTCTACCTAGTAACTTAAAGGGAAAGGATTGATATAAATTTTAAATACCATAAGAGTAAGAGCAAATTAGCTTAACTTTTATATAAGCGATAGTTTTAATAATGTGTTAATATGTGTATATTACCAGTTTCGATGTTTTTTTAGGTATAAGGGTGACAAACGAGTACACGTCTAACTTTAATAAAGAATTGAACTGCAGATGCGTTGTCACCCCTGAGAATTAAGACGGATGCCTCATTTCCAGTAAAAGGGGTCTCCGGTTTTCTACACTCACCATACGAAACAAAGCAGCATTAAGCTGCTATTTTATGTCGGTATTCTGTGAGAGCGTGCTGCTTCCCGTTTGAGCCGACCCACTCGTGCCAAAACCATAACATCTGCAGCGTGGTCTACCACGTACAATCTACAAAGTATGTTCTTGTCATTTGATAACAATAGAATAAGAGTAATAAGGGATTATAATAATGTCCTTCAGACCGAATTTTCGTCACAGCAGCCAGTCTCAACGGAGACTAGACATCAGTGCAGGAGAGGATTATAGTGACCGAGTGTATTCAGATACATTAGCACTCTATATTCCCTCACTCTCTTATTCCAGTGGGAGGGCAATCCGACACGACTTGAGTGAAATCAGGCGCAAGTCCAACGGCTTTACTTGTTTTCCAAGGCAAGGGGGTGAAACACTGCCAACTTTATAATTCGGGACTGCCAATGAGATTTTTAAGTTAGAATAAACCAATAACTGTTTTTGGCCTGACCCAAATTCTATTTCAAGCAGCAGTCGTGTTTATGATCATTAGATTAACGAGGTAGTCGTCAATCTTCGACTAAATTCGAATAAAAAGTGATTAGCCCTTAACGTAAATGGATTGAAATAAAAAGGGAGAAATTTTGTATATTATTATAACTTCACAAAAATATGGACCGTTCAATTATTGTGATATATGCTATTATAACATTTATCAACATTATTATTTAGTGTAATGAAATAAATCTCGCGTAAATATTGTTAAACCGCTGATCGAGATTTGCTTGTACCAATAACGTCTTATTACAAAACGTGATTTATTAAGTCTTAGTTTTAAAATATGGCATAAGAAGAGTCCTTCCCATGTAAAAAAATCTCTTAGCCGCAGCACCACAGTCACAGTAAAAACCACAGTTTTCAAAATTTGAGATTTGCTGTTAAATTCTATATATTACATTTTATTTCACATATTTCTGCGGGACTTCTATATCGTAAAACAGATTTTAGTTAAAGCTGGAAACTAATGATTTTCTTTTATGTTTGTAATATTAAGGGCCGATAGTTATTTTTTTTATAGGATAGGGTGATAAACGAGCACACAGTCCACCTGATGGTAAATGGTTACTTCGGCCCATTAACATCTACATCTATCCTCGATTACGAATCAAAATGCAGATGCGTTGTTGCCCGTGAGGACTGAGATGGAATGCCTCGTTTCCAGTAAAAAGGGTCTCCGGTTCTCTGCACTCACCATACGAAGCAAAGCAGCATGAAGCTACTATTTCACGCTGGTATTCTTTGAGAGCATTATCCTTCCCCGGAAGAGCCGACCCATTCGTGCTAAAACTATACTACTAATATAACTGCAGCATGACTCTACCACGTATAAAACCAATCAAAGTGTTTCTTTAATCTTCATATTTTCAGATCTTTCTAATGGACTATCTTTTAAGATTATACTTACGTTATATTGATATCAAACTACTCGAACTAATGATAACTTGAGTTTTTGTTGGCAAAAGGTTACAAAATTACAGGCGTACTTGTTTCATTGAAAGCGTCCACTTTAAAGCAGCTCGTACAGGACATGGCCTTCAAAACTTCAAGACCTTCTTAACATATATTTAGCCTTTCAAAGACAAAAAATGTAGGCCTCCACGTGCGATATTTACTATTAAATAGTTGCTATGATTAAAATAAGAGAAGGTCTGCGCGCAGACGCCCTCTCATTGCCAGCTGTGGGATGAGTGAAGGCTGTAGCTTATCTTTTTGCTATTCTGCCATTAGTATGCAGGCTAGTATGGTGGAAGTCGAAGTCAACACTTACGGGACGAGATAAGTTGTATTACTCCTAGACTAAGATGGAATGCCTCGTTTTCTGCTCTTCACTCACCATACAAAACACAACAACATTAAGCTCCTATTTTACGCTGGTATACTGTGAGAGCGTCCTTTCCCGGTCGAGCCGACCTATTCGTGCACGCACTATATAAAAAAAAAAAAAAAAAAAAATAATATATATTATATATATATATATATATATATATATATATAACTATGCTATCCCCCCTAATTTATGTTAAGCAATATCTTTAATGGTGACGGTAACAAATGAATAATTTTGCTTGTCAAAGGTTAAACAGATAATCGCGTACATATGGCGTTTATGCGTGTGTAAACGACATCGTCAAACATTTGAAGGGTCATCCGAGAGTTGAGTTACATTTATACAAATTGGACGTTTCACAAGCGTTA